AAACTGCATCTAAAGGCATGGTAACATAGGTTTTTACAAAAGAACTAGGCCAAGTGGCCCAGATCGTCGCCACAGGGGTGGGAAGCACGGCCTGCGGTCACAAGGGCTTGTTCTTTTAACCGTGTCAGAGCAACTGTGCTGTAGTACAATGCTCGGTCCAGCTGGTGGCGCTAATACTAACTTCAGCGGCTTCCCTGTTGTTTCAAAGTTTCAAAGTTTCAAAGTTTGTTTATTTTTCGAGTAAATATGTGTACAGAAAAACAAAAGTAGAATATCAAAGTTGTGTATAAATAACCCTGAGCTATATCTACATTATACAAAATTATGAATATTATATACACAAAAGAAACACTTACAGATACTCGAAAAGGAGTGGGAAGAAGAAAACTTATTTAATCCCACCCCTGGTGCCTTAAAGAAAAAAACAAAACAAAACATTATTCATTAAGCTTCCCATTTGCTCAAGTACAAAAAAACAAATCAAATGGCACATTTGAATCAACTGTTCAGGTTTTTTAAGTAGCAATTAATGGGTTTAAGGACATATACACACAAGATACGTATTACAAGGATGCAAAACAAATGCATAAGGAAAATACCAGCAATGGTAAAGACAGTAAATACCAATATGGTACATAGGGACAGCAAATACCAACAATGGTAAGGAACAGAAAATACCAACAATGGTAAGGAACAGAAAATACCATCAATGGTAAGGAACAGACGATACCAACAATGGTAAGGAACAGACAATACCAACAATGGTAAGGATACAGCAGTGGTAAAGAAACAACAACAGGGGCAATTACAAACATACAAGAAACATACATACATGGCAACATGAAGATATATTCAAGGCATATTCCCTCTATAGTCAGACCAAACATTGTTTTTGTACAGTGATTTAAATCTATGAATGTCTTGGCATTGTTTTAGTTGAAGATCAAGAACATTCCACAATTTCACGCCACATACAGTCACACAGAAACTTTTACGAGTCGATCGGAATTTTGGAAGTTTGAAGTTTCCAAGACCTCTTAGATTATATGTTTTTTCATTAAGAATAAAGTATTGTTGTATTTTACATGGTAGCAATTTCTTAAATGCTTTAAATAGCACAATTGATGTGTAGAGCTTAACAAGGTCTGGAAACTTCAATAATTTAGATTGGGTAAAAAGTTCATGAGTGTGTTGTAGGTAGCTTGCTTTGTGAATGATTCGCACAGCTCGTTTTTGCAATAATAATAAAGGTTTTATTGTACAATGGTAATTGTTCCCCCACACCTCGACACAGTATGTCAGATAGGGTAGAACCAATGAACAATATAACGAGCGTAGTGTGTGAGTATCAAGGTAGTGTTTAGCCTTATTTATAATTGAGAGATTTTTTGCTATTTTGGTCTTTATATGACTTATATGAGCTTTCCATGATAAGCTGTTGTCCATAACTACCCCTAGGAATTTGTTTTCAGTAACATTTTCAATTTCGGCTCCATCAATGAAAATTTTTAAATTTGGACATGCTTTCGTGTAACCAAATGTCATTACTTTTGTTTTATTTACGTTTAATGACAATTTATTTGTGTCCATCCATTTTTTAAGTTTATTTAGCTCAATATTTACAGTGTTGATTAATTCTGATGAGTCCGAACTACTGTAGAAAATGTTAGTGTCATCTGCAAAAAGAATTAGTTTTAAAGACTTTGACACATTGAAAATATCATTAATATACAGGTTAAACAACATAGGTCCCAACACTGACCCCTGGGGGACACCACACGCAATGCCAAGACTTTCAGAGACATAATTTTCCATTTGAACAAACTGTGCTCTTTCTGTGAGATAATCTTTTAGCCAGTTCCCCGCTACACCCCTGACACCATATTTCTGAAGCTTTACCAACAATATTGAGTGGTTAATGGTATCGAAAGCTTTTCTCAGGTCTATAAAAATTCCAATTGCATGTAATTTGTGTTCTATTGCATTTGTTATCTCTTCAACTGCCTCAGTTAAGGCCATGCTGGTGGTTCTTTTCGCTCTGAATCCATATTGACTCTCATTTAACAGCCCATATTTTTCAACAAACTTTTCCAACCGAGCAGCAAATATTTTTTCTAAAACTTTTGAGAACTGTGGCAGCAGGGAAATTGGTCTGTAATTTGTAAAGCTATGGCTGTTCCCACTCTTAAATACTGGTATAACTTTAGCAACTTTCATTTTGTTCGGAAAACAACCAGACTGGAAGGATAGATTACAAATGTACGTCAGAGGTTTAACAATATTATGGATGACTAATTTTACAAGTGCCATGTCGATATCGTCACAGTCTGTAGAAAGTTTACTTTTAAATTTGAGTACTGTTTCTTTTACTTCTTGTTCATCGGTTGCTGTGATAAAAATTGAGTACGGATTTGTTTCGATTACATCACTGCTTGGTGGGGAACTCTGAACAGGGATTTCATTTGACAATTGAGGACCAACATTTACAAAGAAACAATTAAAACCATTTACTATTTTGTTCATGTCATGATTGTCACCACTTATATCTTCAAAGTAATTAGGATACACTTTTTTAGATGATCCTTGTTTTATTACACTATTTAGTATGCCCCAAGTTTTTTTAATATTATGTTTATTTTCTTCTAGAATTCTTGTATAGTATAATTGCTTACTAGACCGAATTATATTTGTTAGTTTATTTTTATAGGTCTTGTACCTTTGTTCAGCGTCTTCAATTTTTTTTGTATTTGATTGACTAGTCTTTAGCTTGATGAAGATTCTATAAAGATTCTGTTTCTTTTTACAACTGTTCAGGATTCCCCTCGTAAGCCATGGACTGTTTATTATGCTTTTGGTCTTACGATATAGTTTAATAGGACAGTGCTTATTATAAAGACAAACAAATGTTTCGATAAAGTTATCATAGGCAATATTTACATCGGACTGATTAAAAACAGAGTTCCAATCCTGTCCTTTTAAACTATTATTGAAGGCAATGAGATTTGCTTCAGATCTTTCCCTTTTGTATATCATCTTTTTATCAGGTTTGTTCTTGCTTTTTAAATCACAGTCATGTATGCTAAAGACTGGCAGATGGTCAGAAACGTCACATATAAACAGTCCACTCGTGATAGGTTTTTCCATTATATTAGTAAAAATGTTATCAATTAATGTGGCACTGTGCACTGTAAGTCTACTTGGTTTTGTTACTGTTGGATATAGAGACATGCTATACATAGTATCAGAAAAATCCTTTGTGGCATTATGTTGAGTTGGATTCAGCAGGTTGATGTTAAAGTCCCCACAGATAAATAGCTCTTTTTGGTTTACAGGACTAAATAATCTCTCCACCCATTCAGTAAAATCATCTATACTTGATCCTGGTGATCGATATACACAACTTACAATAATATTCTTGTTGGACTCATTTCGTATTTCTATGGTAAGGCACTCCATTATGTCATCAACAACAATAGACATACTGGAGACTGTCTCGTAAGGTATTGACTTGTGAACAAATAAGGCAACTCCACCTCCCGTTTTGCTCTCTCTGTTAATACAAGTAAATTCATAGCCATCTAAATAGAAGTCACACTCTTTATTTATGTTGATCCAAGTTTCTGAGAGTGCAATTATACTGAATGGGTCTTTGAACTGCTGCAGAAAATATTTTATAGCGATGAAATTTGCATACATGCTTCTACTGTTGAAATGGATTATCGATAACTTTCCTGCAATGTTCATACTTTTGTTGAAATCATCTTGAGTGAAGTAGTTACAGCTCCACTGATGAAGTGAAGACAAAAAATTGTTATCTGGATCAATCTCTGATAAATGTGGCGTGTCCATGAACTCAACAGTGTCCAGTTCCATTTGTTTGTATAGAAGAGTTAATTGTTGCGTGTCCATTTCATTGTTGTTAGATTGTGTAGCAGATGTAACAGTCATGCTTAATATATTGTTCAAGTTTGCTGTGTGGTGTAGTTTTACCTTTTAAGTGTTGTATTTGTCCAGTTCTTCTCTCCTTCTCACCACAAGTACCTTTGCATTTTCTGGGGGGCCATTTAGTTTTATATAGATCTTACAATTTGACACCCAGGTGTGTTGAATCTTATTCTGTCTCTTCAACTGTCTGGCTTCTCTTGCAATGTCCGCATTCTTCTTTGTGAGGTGCTCGTTTATGTAAACATTAGTTCCCTTTAGTTTTCGTCCTTGCTTCAATAGCGCCACTTTGTTTTTTCTGTTTACGAGCCGGATGATGACAGCGGGTCGTTCGTTGTTTCTTGAAGGCAGTGGGTGACATGCCTCGACGTGGTCCGGGTCCAGCTCTATTCCTTTGGAGAGGAGATAGGAGGACACCTGCTGCTCCACGGAGGACGTCTCTTCCTCACTGGGCTGCCCGCCGACTGCATCTGTGACCACTGCACGCGCGTACGAGCGTGGTTTGATTTTTATTCCGGTGATGATGAGATCATTGATACGGCTGTATTGCTCCATTTCGTCAACTCGCCGCTCCAGATTCTCGATGCGGCGGTCTTTTTCCTCGCTTTGGACACGCAGGGTGTTTACCAACTCCAGCAAAGCTAGGAGTTGTGTCTGCTGCTCCCGGACAGAAGCCATCTCCCCAGTCAGGAACTTCAGCGAGGCTCTGATGTCCTCACATTCCTCGGGTGTCGGGCCTTTTTTAGGCGGCATGGCTTGTAGGGATACTCGCAGCGCAGCGTGCCAAAACAGTAGAGTGAGCGATATCACATTTAAACAACAAAATAGGAGCAAAACTTAGACACGCGTGAACGAGCCACACGCACCAGTTGTGCGAGTTTAGTTTCTGTTTCTCTTCCTGTTTACATTCTGCTACTGTAGCGCTAACAGCTCGAGCATGGAACGTGTTGTTTGTATCAGAGCAATGTCCAGAAGCTGTGGCCCAATCATGCCAACACCCGCAAACTTCCACACACACGGGGCAATCACAATACCCTTTGCAGTAGTGAAACACTCACCCGGTAGGCCTGGCTGTAGGGCCCGATGTTGGCAGGGGCCCAGTGGGACAGGCTCTGGACATGGAGGGCCTCTCTGCGTCTCTCCTCCACGACAGGGGCCACTGCTGAGTGGGTCCAAGCGTGAAGCAGACAGTCCATCTGCAGCAGCTGTCCTGCACCGAGGGGCACCTGGAGACACACTCTGCATGGGGAAGACACAACGTCACAGTTATGAATAGAATCAAGACAACTTCAAATAAGAAACCAAATGATGCAATATTCTTTAAACATGATCTCCATAATATTTACTTGGGCATTTCATGTTTAGAATGTGAAGTATAAGTAGAACTTATGAGTGAGAATGACTAGAATGACTAGTGTTTCAAGTTTGCTTCAAGTTTGCTACATTTTATTTAAATTTAACATGGCACATTGAAGGCAGGCAGATGTAAATAACACAATGTGACTGGAACTTTAGAGGAAATACTTGCACTCTAAAAGGCAGAAAAACGACTCTGGCAGTGATGTCACTGATTTAACAAGTTTAACATGTTTCTGATTCTGCCGATTTATGCCATAAATTCCTCGTCTTTAGGAAGAAACTTGAGGAAGAAAAACTGAAAACATAACTGCATAAAATGACAAATTCTAGTTTATTATAACAGAACTTTGTTCAAACTAAAGCAGCTGCAGGCATCTTTCACCAGAAAAGATGAAACAATAAATATTAAGGACCCAGAGGAGGGAGGTCCAAGACACAGACCCCCACAGAACCCAGAAGAGAGGCCCCAAACCTCAACTATTGAAAGATTTCTGCAGTATATTCCGTTCCAGCTAACAAACCCCTTGTTACCTGGCGGGAGGGTTGATTCCAAAGTGGTTCTTGTAGACCGAGTTGATGTCTGCAAAGTGGTCCATGTCGCTCACATAGAGATGCAGCAGGACGATGTCACGGATGTTCCAGCCTTTACTGTCCAGCTCTCCTGCACACAGTGTGCCATTTCACCCTCTGACCACCACCAACCATTCACGCACACACCAAATTCATTCTAGGCAATGTGGGTGAAGTGTCTGGCCTAAGGACACAACGATAGTTTGGCACTTTACAGCCGCCCCACTGTGGCACCTGGTGCTCCTAGAGGTCCGTCAGACCGTCTTCATCTATTACATGTATTTATAGAATTAACTTTTTCATACTTTTATAAGAAAGAGCCCCATGAGTCACTAATTAACTTTTTGAGCTGAGAGCAGATTTTCAGAGCCGATGTGTCAAATGTGTTCTTCTTCCTAAGGTGGGCCTGGCCGAAAATAATTGAGAAGCACTGCCCTAGCTCAATGAAGCCTATTAGGGAAGTGCTCATGAACAAAGTTTTTACTCAAACTCGCTCTGGCTCTTATTGACATTTTAAAGTGAACTCCTCACCGTTCATGTCACACTTGATTTTGATATTAACTTTTTAAATGCAGATATGAGCCATAAGGATTGACCTATTAGAAGAATTAATTCAGGGTGGAAACTCAAGCTTGCCTTAGCAACCATCTTAGCAACACGCCTGTGCCTGTCACCGAACAGATGCCCATATAAGGACATTGGCACCAGCTATAGCTTATGTTCAACTTGTCTTCTTCCAATTGTCTTCCTCTGAAATTTCCCCACTGTGGGACAAATAAAGGATCTCTTAATCTTCATCTGCATTCGGCACTACGGGTGATGTCACCACTTGGTCAGTCTACTCCTAATATACAGTCTATGCCGGGGAAAGAGCATTTGGACTTATGTTTATGCTTTTTGTGTCTGATGTTAGTAGCATTAATTGAATGTAAAAACAACTCCAGATTTAAATGTGTAAAAAATATATCTCCTTTGAAGTGCAATAAAAGTCAAGCAACTAAATTAAGTTTAATGTCGGAAACGAGAAACGATATGTATTTTTAAATGTATACAGTAATATGTCTACATACTGACCTCAAACACTGAGTTTGTTATGGTCTAGTTTTGTCTAAGCTTGTTTTACTTTCACTCATTCATGTTTTGGATAAAAATAAAATTCAACTCCTGAACTAGTTAGAGACTAGAACAATGTGGACAGACTGTACAAGAATTGTCTAAATATTGTTATCAAAATACAAAACTTTTTCCCAACCTTATTGTATCGTCATAGATTTTCCTGCACCCCACCCTACAACAAAAACCATGCAACGAACCCTTATCCCTCACCTATTTACAGAGCTTAAGGAGGCTTTCATGTCGGGACGCTCATTCAAAGTGACAGTACCCAGTCTTCAAGCCCTGTGTGAAGCCTTCTTGTAGTCTGTCCCTTGTGTCTTCTTAAACACCTCGCAGACTTCGGGGGCCTCAAAGCCTTTCTCCTATCTCTGCAAACATCTCCGTGGTTTGTTTTCCCCTTCGCCTCCTCTCCACACTCATACAAAGGGCCCGGCCATTAAATATTAACTTGTTTAATATTGTCTCCACTCTGAAGGCTTTTCTTCCCAGCTAAACATTAAATATGCTTTTCATCTCTGGCGCCGATTTCTCCCAGTCAAGAAACAAAGAAAAGAAAAATCTCCAAATGATCTTGGGGCCAAAAACAATGACTGATCTATGTGTTTTTAAATATTTGAAGAATTTGTCCTTGCTTGGTGGCCAGGCTTGGATACATTTTGACATGCACGCTTTATCTGATAGTGCTTTTAAATAAGAGATGACTTGTCAACTATGTAGTCTTCACATTTGCAGAGTTAACACGGAAAAGAAGGAACCCAAGGGACACAAAAAGGCTTTGGTGTACATGTATGGGCTTAGCCTGAAAATGCTAAAGGCTACAGCATTTTGAAATGATCAATAGCAATGGATAGTGTTTCAGTGATAGCACTTTTAGAGTAGCTGTGCGCTCATGGCCTGGTGCTGATTTATGAAGCAGTAATTTGTACTAATTTCAAAACAAATCAATGTATCAGTCCACTCAAAGAAGTGCTCCATGTCGTAATAAAAAGGACTCAGTCTTTTGGAGTATTTAGATGCAACAATAGTTTTGGATTTCTATAGCTTGTGAGGAAACTGTTACTATGAAACGGTACTACTGCATGGAACACAACCAGTCTTAAGAATATAGGCGTTTGGTTTGAATAAGAAAATATGAATGAAGGTAAAATAAAAAGTGGATAGATGCGTTAGTTAAGATTAGTTACTTTTACTGTTTTTTTTACTAAAAGAAAACTAATAATGTTGTTGTCCAATGCATGTGTTTAGTCCTCAGTCAAAGCATTACAGGTATATGTTGATACCTGTGATGCTTGTAATAGAGAAAGAACAGTATCTATTTGTAAATTATTGGCAGTGGTCAAGGGCCTGGTTGCGAAGGTCTTGCTTCTGCGCCATGGCAGCTGTGACAACAACATGGTGCCGTGGCAGGAGCCCTGGTGTGCACTGTGCTGGTCTTGCACAGTTTTTCAAATGTGGTTTTACTGCATATGGCAACTACATTCTTGAATCTTGAACATCAAACTACTTACTATGACTGTGTGTGGAATGAATCATGTGGGAGTCATGAAAGGTGCTGTATAAATATGCATACTTCAGTTATGTCCTGAGAACGATACATTCATTGTGATCAAAGCTCTAGTTAGAGATACATAACTTGGTGATGCTATGGGTGATGTTACAGGCCTCCTCTTCAGCCTTACCCTGTAGTTGGATGAAAGCTGCAGATGTTTGGGCCTGGACGTTCTGCTCGTCACACTGGAGACCACTGATGCCACTGAGCCACTGGAACCCCGAGGGACTCCTTTGTGACCAACATGGAACCATATCTGAGAAACACAACAAAAATGTTATACAACAATAATGCATACTTTTTATACTGCTTCTTTGGACACTCAAAAATGCATTTATTAATTTCATACAAGATGGTGGTTAGCTACTCCTGTAGCACCAGCTGCACTGGGACTGACTGACGGAAGCAAGGCAATCAGTATGTGCCATCAGCCCCTCCAACCATTCACACACACACTAGACTCATTCTAGTTAATGTGAGTGTCTTTCCTAAGGACCCAATGACAGTGACTTTAGAGCCACAGATGCCCCACTCTGGCATATGTGCTCCCAGAGATCTCCCATCACAGTACTAACTACACCCTGCCCTGCTTAGCTTCAGAGGTCAGACAGGATCTGGCTTTCATATGCAGGTATGCTTTTTTGGCATGTTTTTGGAATTGTTAACCCAGAAATGGTTTTATATAAAAAAATGTCGCCTACAACACAGTATTAGATTGGGCTGTCCATGTTCTTCATACAAGTGTGTTCTAAAGGTGTTCCGTCACCTTTAGAAGTAGCATTTTGTCTGCTGCTTCCCCATAACTGGGCCACATGCTGAGTCCTGTCTGTAATCCTAATGCATATGTGCAGTTTACGTCCATGCATAAATGAATTCAGCCACTGTCACAAATCAGCGGCGGCACTGACAGCGCGTGTCAGGCCATCAGAGCGTCACTCCCGGAGCAGAGCATTGAGACGCCCGGGCGAGTGACACAAGCCCCCCGCACCAGGCCCCTCCCATACACTGCACAACATCTCACTGAGTTCAAAGAACCAACTATTCACTCATATAATTGATTCATTTGAGCGGATCTTACTTGGCAAGTTAAATGATCTACAATGTAAGAAGGTATTTTTTCTTATTTCATGGGTTTACTTTTTGGCCAGCACAAACACGGTTAAAAAGGTAGCTTTAGATCATATATTTGTAAACATAACATTAAAAGTGGATTAATAACATGTCATCTATTGAAAGATACCAAGAGACAGACAATTTGTGTTAATTCTTTTTCTTCTTGTACATTTTTCCAAATTTCCATATTTTGTTTTTGGTTTCTGTCCTGGACCTGTGTGTGTTTGTGTATTTTTTTTTTTTTTTTGGTGAAAAAATAAATACAATTAAATAAATACAAAAACACATTCAAAGACAAGAACTATATCAAAGTTTAAGACATTATTTGATGATTAGGGAGCTAAGGTGGTCCTCTCTTTATCACATTTCTCTCTGAAAAAAAATCTAAAGTTGTGACAAACATACTGTACATGTGAAAAAAACAATATAGAGAAAATAGAGCAATATAGATTTTAATATATGGATTAATTTTGTTGTGGTTAGATACTTCAGCTTGTTGCAACACGGAAAAGAGGTCAAAAGGTTGTATGTTGCTCTTGTAAGATTGGCAGATAATAATACATTCTTACCTCCCTAAATATTGTTTTTTTTTTGCAGTGTGGACACTTAAACATGCACGTCACCACAAAACAGTGGCACATCTCACCGCGGCCCCTCTGACAGCTGAGGTCAGCGCCTGATGCAGATTCCGGGTGCTTGTCTTGGACTTGATCAGCATATTCCTCCTCCTCCGTCATGCTGTCAATGGCTCTCCGGCAAGGACACGTACCACAGGCTGAACTGCTGGCTGCACCATTCTGTGGAAAGGGGGGAAATAAATAATAAACCGTGGGGAATACACAAGGCCAAATGCTCAGCTGAGACAGAAAAACGCTGCATGATAATGTGACGGCGTGGGGTGGAAAAGGGACTGGCCGACGGGTCAGCGAAGGGTGTTATAAAATTTGATTTCAGATTGAGGGCAGAGGGGTATTGCAACTCATGGATGGATCAGGCAATGTATCAATAGATGAAGTCACATATTTGATGATGGGTACCACAAACTTCCAGAATTGTACTTTGTGGCTCGAGACCATTCTACAGGAGGTCAATGTTTGTGTACATGCCAATTAGGATCAGGTTTGTGAAGGCGAGAAAGTTCTGGAATGATATTCTAAAGACGGGTAAGAGCAACTTATACCAGAGTGAAGAGAAGAGAAGAGTCTCGAGTGGGAAAAAATAAGCTCCTTATCCATAACACTTAATGGATAAGGAGCTAACACTGCTGATCCATCCAATCATGTCTCTCTTAAAGTAAACGGTGAAACATAGAAATTTCCTGCCAGAATGTGCAATATGTACCACATGTGTTACTGTCAATTTCCTGAGTCACTTTGTCCCAGACCCTCATGCTGCTGCTGTATTGATATGATACAACTGTATATTACTTGCACTAAAATATACAACATTTCATACTCCTTATTATGCTAAAGTCATGCTAAAGTTTAAGATCTAAAACTTCTCTCTTTATTGTGCTTAAGATAGAGATGTTATACTGCTTACTTTTGTGCAAGAGTAAGAGATTTTATTTATTTTATTTCATTTTAGAAAAGATTGTTCTGTAACTTGTAATGCAACACTGAAGTTTCCAACTGTGGGACAAATAAAGGATCTCTAAGTCTTAATCTTAAAATCCTGTATTCTGAACTGTTAATATCAACTGCCAAACTGCTTCGAAACAATGGACAATGACCACTGCAAAAGATCCAAAAGAGCTTTTTTAAGACAGAAAAAGAATGTTATGCAATTGCCAAGTCAATCACCAATTACCTGAATCAAGCCGAGCACTGAAGATGAAGACAAAACTCCCATGGAGCATGAACACCATTGGAATAGAGGCCTGACAGAATATCAGCATGGATGAAACTCAGTGCCTCATGATGTCTCCACCTTCCAATCCTTCCAGTATTAAAAGGTGAACGTCTGACTTGTCCTCAAAAAGTGGGAGGCACTGAATTTTTGTCGACCAAGTAGAAAAAACGGTTTGTTTTTCACAGTTTGTTACTTGAACTAATAATACTAGCACAAGAGACTGAAATGGACTCTCTGATATGGATTGATTTTGTATTTTTCCACTTGCCACCAGCTGCAATATAATCACAGGCTTGAAAGTTTGATGTCTTCAATCATAAAACTTTAACCCACACGCTTGAGTTGGCCCAAAGCCCAAAAAGTAAGATTGAGATATTCTTTTTGTCTTTCCATGCAAGGGTTCCCAAACTTTTCTGGTTAGAATTTGGTGAATTTGACCATTTTCATTGGCCATGAATGTCGTCCTTTCAAAAGATTAAAGGTCCAGTTTTTCACATTTAGACCTAATTTCATCTCTACCACTTTTTGCAGCTACCATTGCTGATCCATCCAATCATGTCTCTGGTCACATGTTCAAAAAGTTCATTGAATTATATTGTCTCCGTCCTCTTTAAACCTCACATCATCAAACTCTGTAACGACAGCGTGTTGCCAGATTGTATGACTCGAAGGTGAATGAATATGAAACAACACGCTAACGTATTCACGGCTCGGGCAAAACGCGGACGGTGTTTTGTGACATTGCAGATTCAATCATTCAGCCTGTCAGTCAAAACTCTGGGAAAACCGTGCCAGATCCCAGCATATTTCCTTTTCCTCTTTTTGCGTTCTTTAAATAACAAATCATTAACATTCTCTCAAGGCTGGACACATCACCTGCCAAATCCCGTCTCTCATTTGACTACATCTTGGCGTTGCTTGGCGGGACCTCCTGCCAGTGTCTGCTGTCAACCGCATTATGCATTATGATAATCTAATTAATTATACTCCAGCCACTCCTCTCCCGGCGTGGAAAAATAGCTTGACTAGCATTAAGGGGAGGGCAAATTGACGGTGGTCCTAGCATCCCCCCTACCGTCGCGGATACCAGCCCCCTTACCCGGCAGGAAAGGGTGTCAGTGTGGATCTGTCAGCCTGACGGGAAGCGTTTGAGATGGGCCGCAGCGAGGCAGGTTCTCCCCTGGTTTTCCCCCTCATGTGCTCGTCTGAAGGGGATAGTGTGTGTGTGCGTGTGTATATATGTGGGTATGTGTAAAATGTATAGCTGTAGGGTCAGACAGAGGGGGGTATGTTTTCTGTCCGAACTGTAGCCCGCCTCTTGCTGAGTTATAAGCATACATGCATAAAAGGGTCAATGTTATGACTTGGGCTTTGTCTGATATTGTATGAAAATAAACAATATGTGCCATTTTGCATAATGTGAGTGGGGAATGAGCACTAAGTATGCTTCTCACCCTGTCCCTTTGTCATTGACCTTCTCAAAGTCTCATTCCCATTGATTCTTGCATGTTTGAGAAACCTTGTATTGTCCTGCAACACCATCTCTTTTTCACCGACTGCTCATGTACTGTACAGTATATAGATGGATAAGGAGGACGTTTTGTTCCAACATTCTGTCTCCCATTGAAAAGTAAAATCCTCTAACTCAGGAACTGCTGTGTCACACTCACTATTTTGGGTTTAAACAATCTGTGGTTTTTGCTTTCTGAGATATTGGTGTTTATATGTTGACATTGTCTTTGTAAATCCAGACATGAGCCATAAGGATTGACCAACCAGATACAGTCGCTGGGGAGACTCCAGCATACCTTAGCAACTATGTTCTGAACACGTTAAGTTTGCAACTTCCCCGGCTGCAGCGCAAGGTCACCCCGTCGGAACAAAGTATAAATTGGCTCCAGTTGGCATAGGTTCAAATCGCCTTATTTTACATTTGGCAAGGACAATGGATGACGTCAGCAAATGTACTGATGATGATAATCATTATCATTTATTAAAATGATAATAAAATCCGAAATACAAACTTTGAAGTGCCATTTCTTCTAGGGATTATCGCAAAAATTATGTTTGAGATTTTTCTGAAAAATCATGCATAATTACAACTATAGTGCAGGCTTATAGAAGCGTTAAGCTGGCCATAGCTAAAATAGGTTACTTCAATGAGGTAAATATTTCCTAATTTAAATGTTTTGCAATGCCAGACTAGTAAATGTAATGATGTACCTGGCAGCATCTGACCTTACACCAAAACACAACCAATCACCAGACACATTCATCATCCACTGCCTCTCTTCTTAATACGGACACTTAATAGCAAAGTAATTAACAACGTTATTATCTCCGGGCTTTAATCGCCGATAATATTAAGATTATAAACTGGTCTGCTGGTGGAGAAAGTTCCCTGGTGTCACTTTTGATGACGGGCTGTTCTTCCAGCAGCCCCCTCCGTCCCCCACTGCGAGTGCTTAGCCAGCTACCTGAATGCAGAGCTCCTCTAATGCGAGCCGACGTGTTTATTAATCTGGGCCTGGTTTGGGGCTGCGGCGAATATTGCGGCCGTCAAAGTAGGCCACGTGGGGCTGCGGGACGAGACTGGGAGTGGGCCCCTCGGAAGTGGATCTGTGCGCAGCTCGTAACCATGGAAGTTACATCACTGAGGGCTTCTGTTCTGCTCTGTGACCCATTTTATATCCCCTCGAAATGGCAGTACAAGAGAGCGGTTTACTATCAAAGGTTGTGTCTGTAAATACGTAGTATTCGGCATATTTGGACATTGAATGGACACGTTATTGACTTTTTTCACTTTTCAACATAAAAAAAAAAAAATCTAGAGTTGTCTTAAAGGAATAGTTTTTACATACTGACATATGTTCTTACCTTACCTTAGACTAGTTAATACAGTGCCTTGCGAAAGTATTCGACCCCCTTGAACCTTTCAACATTTCGCCATATTTCAGGCTTCAAACATAAAGATATAAAATTTTAATTTTTTGTCATGAATCAACAACAAGTGGGACACAATCGTGAAGTGGAATGAAATTTGTTGGATAATTTAAAAAAATTTAAAAAATAAAAAACTGAAAAGTGGGGCGTGCAATATTATTCGGCCCCTTTACTTTCAGTGCAGCAAACTCAGTCCAGAAGTTCAGTGAGGATCTTTGAATGATCCAATGTTGTCCTAAATGACTGATGATGATAAATAGAATGCACCTGTGTGTAATCAAGTCTCCGTATAAATGCACCTGCTCTTTGATAGTCTCAGGGTTCTGTTTAAAGCACAGAGAGAACCATGAAGACAAAGGAACACACCTGGCAGGTCCAAGATACTGTTATGGAGAAGTTTAAAGCTGGATTTGGATACAAAAATATTTCCCAAGCTTTAAACCTCTCAAGGAGCACTGTGCAAGCAATTATATTGAAATGGAAGGAGTATCAGACCACTGCAAATCTACCAAGACCCGGCCGTCCCTCCAAACTTTCATCTCAAACAAGGAGAAGACTGATCAGAGATGCAGCCAAGAGGCCCATGATCACTCTGGATGAACTGCAGATAACTACAGCTGAGGTGGGGATGGTGTGTTCAGGGTGATGAGCTGTGTTGCTTTTACGCCAAACATATCGTTTTGCATTTTGGCCAAAAAGTTTGATTTTGGTTTCCTCTGACCAGAGCACCTTCTTCCACATGTTTGGTGTGTCTCCCAGGTGGCTTGTGGCAAACTTTAAGAGACTTTTATTGGATATCTTTGAGAAATGGCCACTCTTCCATAAAGGCCAGATTTGTGCAGTGCACGACTGATTGTTGTCCTATGGACAGACTCTCCCACCTCAGCTGTAGTTATCTGCAGTTCATCCAGAGCGATCATGGGCCTCTTGGCTGCATCTCTGATCAGTCTTCTCCTTGTTTGAGATGAAAGTTTGGAGGGACGGCCGGGTCTTGGTAGATTTG